CCAGTGAAAAGCGACGGCCAGCGTTGCTGCCAGGGCGTGGCCACTGTCAGAATGGTGGCACCCACGTTGTCCGTGATGGAGAAACCCAGAGCGCAGAACAAGTCAAACCCCAAGAGGTTGGCGCCTTGGCGTGAAACTTGAAAGGTGAATGCTGGGAGGGCCCTGGAGCCGTAGCGAACAGCAAAGGTGGCGGTGCCTACCATGCCGATCTTTGCATGTCCATAGCCGTACAGCTCCTCTGCGTCCGCCCTGATTGTCTGTCGAGGAAAAAGCCGCCGGACAGTGGACTCGTTGAGTAGGGACCTGGAGGCCGCAGTGTCCAGAAGCAGTGGCAGGCAAACGCCGTCCAGTTCCACCGTACACCATGTGAATGGTTTGGCGCTGGAACCCACAGAGTGGATGGTGGTTGGGCTAGGTGGGCGGAACGAGCGGGTCCGGGGACTTGCAGAGGCCGGTGCTGTCAGAGCGGCCACACTCTGGAAAGTATTCATCTTACCGCAAGCGCTGGCACCGCTGCCCCATGGCCGGGGCATGCCTGGCGCACATGAGCGGGTTAGAAAGAGTCCAACAGTTCTCCACATGGGCCGGCGTCCTGTAGCGCCCTGATGGTCCCGCGACGTTTACCTCAAGGTCGGAGTAGGGTGAGCCGACGGGGCCACTGTTTGTGCTAAGGAGGTGGCGTGCGGCGGGGCGGGTCCGGTGCCGCTAGCCGTGATGCTAACTGAGCAGCTGACTCAAGCTGAAAGGCTAATTCCACCGCCTTTGACAATGGCAGGTCGTCCGGCGCCAATGAACAGTTTCTCACGTAGCTTAGGATCAACTGTATGCTCTGCTAGCTGGTCTCGGATCATTTCGTCTTCTAAAGCGTCGAACTTACAGAGGCTGGCCAGACACCGGAGGTCGCGACGTACTGGTGGACCGACTCGGCCGGCCGCTGTCGGCGTTGGCGGAAGATAATTCGCCGGACCATGACGTCTGGCGGGCGGCGAAATGTCAGCCAGTAGGTGATGCAGTCCGCGTATTTCGGCGCGGGGTCCGAGAGTCTGGAAGATGCGCTGACCCTCGTTGCCCAGGCTGTGGATTAGTATGGGCTCTCCCCCTCGCGTCGGCAAGCGCTGGCTAGCCCGGTAGCTGCTACGAAGCGTCTCGAACGACTCATGCCAGCGGGACCACGGAATGGTGGTTCACCGGGCAGAGCGAGACGGAGGCAGAGGTGAGAAGTTGAAGCTCCATCTTCGTCGCCAATGTTACGTTGAAGAACGCGCGGACCACGACTGTGAGCTGACTTAACCTTTATTATCATCAGCCGCCATTTTACACCTGAACAAGTCTCTCTCTTCTTTACGGCTGACGTAACACTGACGTCACGCTGTCGTGACTCTCTACAAACTGGCATGCAGCCGTATGCTACAATATGATTGAAACTGCTTGGGTTATTATTATTTTAATACCGAACGAATTGCATTTTGGTGGCCGCAACATGCTCGAAAACTCATGAAAATTTAAGTATTCTTTTGATTCCGTACATGGGTGTCTATAGCCTATAGCTTAACCACGCCCCCGAGAATCAGCCTCCAAGACACGTACAACCGTCATATATGAAAATTGGTATGCACGTGTATCATGGTGAGACAAGCAAAAAAGCCTCTTGGACTCATACCCAAAATTAAATAAAATAAAATTCAATTCAATTTTATTTGTATAGCGCCAATCCATAACAGAAGTTATCTCTGGACACTTAAAATAGAGCAGGTCTAGACCGTACTCCTTCTAAAATTATTTACAGAGACCCAACAGTTCTCACCTTGCTCATGGCGACAGCGGCAAGGAAAAACACAACAGGAAGTCGGCCATTTTGAATTCCATGGTCATTTTCTGTGATCGTTTACGTTGTATTTGAACGAAACTTCTAACTTCAATGGTTACATGGTTCAATCTCAATGAAACTTTAAGTTTCATTAGAGTCTTGCCCTGAACAGATCTACATGCCAGTATTCAGTCATAGTCCTAGTGCCCCCTACTGGAAACAGGAAATAACACTTCTTCAGAGGGTATGGGGTGCTTGTGTATCATTTCTACTAAAGGGCCAAAATCCCGGCCTGCTTATTCTCTGTTCAGAGGAATTATTGATTGATCTAAATGTGATCCAGTCATTTTGATTCACGGACAAGGTTTTAAGAGTATGTAGTATGTAGTAAAATGAGAAGACCAGACCAGACCAAAAGTGGGCCTCGAAAAACTTAATTTAATATAACTGTTGGTTAACATTGGTTACTAACCCACTGGAGCAGTTACATGAACACATGTTCTTTCTCTGTGGCATCTGGCGGATTAGCACTGGCACCATCTATGCCCACCCCTAAAGTTAGAGATGGGGGGGCAATGTCCTGCAATTTACATAACTTAGTCTGAAGACTACTTTGTCACTTGATCATCCAAATTTGTGATATTTTTTGTCTCTATGCACATTACTCCTTAATGGATGTTCAGCAGTGCAGGTCAGATCTTTGCATGGGTGTAATGTAATTAAACTATGCTATATGGTACGTTTTTGTAGTATGTTATAACATATAACTATACAAACAAAAATGAAAGGCTGGTGAAATAAAGGTAATGCCCATACCTGTGTGTATGCAGTGTTGGTGCCGTCTGTGGCCTGCACCGTCAGGTTGTAGAAGGAGCACTGTTCAGCATCCAGAGGCCTGGCAATGATGATGGTGCCCACAGCCTTCTCTATGTCAAACACACTGTCACTGTTGCCACCTGCTCAACAGGAGGACAGTCAGACAGGAGAAGGAAGGTGCACACAGAGTCAATATTACAGACTTACACACCAGGTATGATGAATATGTAAATACACAAATCAGACAGTTTTATTTATGGACCAATGGTTTTCAGTCATGTGCAACCATGTGCAGACATGTCCTGACATTTACTGTTTTGCATGCAACCTGTGTGTTCTCAGTCAGAGGACTGAGTGGCTACAGTAATCAGACAGACTTAACAGCATATGACTGGAGACCACTGCTGCACCACACAATATCAGCACCACACACTCTCGCAAACCAACAGTCAAAAGCACAAAACCACAGCTACACAATGAAGCCTGAGCATGCCATGCAAACAGCAACAACAACACATACCCTGTGTGTGTGCGTGTGCTCCTATTACTGTCTGCACTGTACATGATACAAATAGATTTATCTATGACATATGGCACGTACAGGTTCAACATATGTGGATGGCATTCATTACAGCATTCATTACTGCTCTACAGGCCAAAGGATCCTCCCAGCCCACTGATGATATTGTGAAGGGAAAACCAGTGTTGGATAGGCAATCTAGTGACAACCAATCATGCTGAATTCAAAAAGGTACATTTAATGGGGCAGCTGTGGCTCAGAGGTAGAGCAGGTCGTCCGCTAATCGGAAGGTTGTTGGTTTGATCCCCTGCTCCTCCCACCACATGTCGAAGTCCTTGAACAAAATACTAACCAACTGGAGCACTTGAGCAAGATACTGAACCCCGAATTTCACGGTGTGTGAATATGTTGTTGTGTTAATGAGTTAGTTTCTGTTCGATGGGCTTTGAATGTGTGTGAAAGGGCAAATGTGGCATGTAGTGTAAAAGCACTTTGAGTGGTCAGAAGGCTAGAAAGACGCTATACAAGTACAGGTCCATTTACCAATGGTCAAAATGGCACCTGAGTAGCATCCGTGTGAAGCTCTGTTGGAAATGTATTATCTGTATTTTCTCCTACCAAAACTATGGAGGTATGGCTGTTCTGTAGGTGGAGCTGTGATGGTTACTACCATGCAAACATCCAGCCCTAATTCACATCTGAATTATTAAATTAAATTAAATTTAAAAGCTTAATTTAGTCTGAGCTCGACTAGGTGTATGTTTTAACGAAAAATAATCTTTCACTGTCTGATGTCGACATGCGTGAGTGGATGTCTGTTTTGGTGTGTGTGTGTGTAGTCTCAGAGGAGTCTGTCTAATAAATCTATTTTGAAAAGTGCACAACCCAGCTTCCTCTCAGTTCAGTCATATTTTGGCTTATCTCTTTAATAACAGCAGTCTGTATCTGTGATAATAATAATAATAATAATAATAATAATAATAGGTTTGCATGCTTCAGTGTTCAAAAAACACATTCTTTTTATTTTTATACTGGCCATTGCTGCAGCACTTCTATTTACTCTCTGTCTGACACACATTTTCTCCAAGGCTACTGAGCTCCTAAGCCTGAGCAGGCCTGAGTGGGACTGGACTGTCACCTAGCCCAGTGGTTTCCAACCTACATTTTTTCTATCAATGAGTTAACTGACGACCCCTGACAATGTGACATATATTATGTATATTTCATATTACATTCAATACATAACAATAACAATACAGAACAACTAATAAACTATACAATAAACCCAAATAGTGATTGCAATAACTGCAGGAAGTTTGTGTACTTCTTGTAGACTTTTGAGCAGAAGCAGATTATTTCCTGTGAATATAACATCAGACGTGAGTTTTTCTGTTATTGATTTTTAAATGCAGATATAAAACCTACAGCTTTTTAATTTTTCTTATACCCCTCAAATTCAAGGAGGCCTTATGACCACCTGTGAAGCTTTGGTGACCCCTAGTGTTGGTCCTGACCTTAGGTTGGGAACCAGTAACCTAGCCTACAAGCCTGTTACAATGTGATGTAATATGGTAACAGATGAAAAGGTTGAACACAAACCATATTAAAATGCATTATCCCTCAATTTTATCGTAGCCCATGTCTTAGATAGAAGGGATGCACAACACTAGTACACCGTAAAAAAAATCTTATAAATAATAATTAAGCAAACTTAATTTTCCAAAATGCAAAGAAATATAAAATAGGGCTCACGTTGCTGTTTACTGTATTCATGGCAATATGGACAAGGGACAAGGTAAGTTTTATCAGTCTGTTTTCTGGGAATAATTTACACAAGC